TATACTAAAACAGTCAGAATATAATAACTCACTCATTGATTCAAATAATAATAAAATAATATAGTTATAAAATATATTTAATAGTGTGCTGTGTGGCTTCAGCCCACAGCCTCTCTATCACTCGGTACTATTGGCTCATTGTTTCATTGCTTTCTGCCTCCTTTGCAAACCCTCCCCTGTCTACTTCTTCACCCCAAAAAACTATGCATCCTGCAGAGAATTAAAAAACAGTATACACAAATATACCCTTCTTCTACCCCTCCAATTTCCAAATGTAAACAAAGCGCAAATACTTATTTCTATAGTGGAGATGTGTCGTTATGATTCATTTACATATATTATTATTTCCCCAAATTGCCCATAATATATTACATTTTTTTAAATTCTTTATTTTGGTTGTGCAGAAAGTACATAAGCACCTGCATCGCCACAACAGCAATGGTAGGCGTAATGAAGACAATTGGAAAACAGCACACATTTTGTTTTTAAGTAGTACAATTGGTCATCAAGTGAGTCAGACATGTCTAGAGGTTTGTCGGAGGATGTCAGTCAAAATGTGAAATAGACATGTGATATAATTTTATCAAGAAATAAAGTCATGCTAACATTGATAAGGCTTAAAAACAAACAAAACAAGGCATGAATTGAGGCATGAATTAACTGTCAGCTTTCAATGCACTGGGAGGTCCCCCCCGCCACATCCGCGGCATCAAATTGAGAGAACAAAAAAGATGCGCAAGGGTCAATAAGACGACCAATTATAGAAGAGTAGTTGTGAGGATTTTAAAGATGAGAACTAGACATGCGTCTTTTCAGGTTGCAGGTCAGGCTCCGTCTCCTTGTCCATAATATTGTCCATAATATTTTAACCTGTAAAAAAAAACATTAAAAAAAACCAAAAACTAAATGTTCTAGAAAATCATAATGGCTTCCTTCAGAAACCATACTTTACAGACTAAAACTCTTTCTATATTTCAAAATTTTGCGATGGGGCTGCCAACCTCACATTTTATAAATGTAATTAATCCTAAATCACATTTGGAGTATAATTAACATTTAAAATTTTACAATGTAATATCACCAGGATTTCAATTATCGTTGCACAGCAAATTCCTCTTAACAAACTGCCAGGGTTATTAAAGGGGTTTATTCACTAAACACAAAACTGAAAACATGAATTTAGGCAAAATTAGCTGATTTGGATATTTTTTTAAATTCAGCTATAGTCATGTCTTCACTATTTCAGCCTGAATTTCGCAGTTTTGTTTATTTCACTGCAATTCCGTATTTAGAGGATAAACCTTTCAATGTAGACTAGATCTGAATGCTTTGGACTCCGAACAATCTATAATTTTAAGGGGCTGTTAATAGATCCTTTCAAACAGCCCTCTCCAGAGATGCTTTATAGTTATGTACAACTAGCAATACGGTAACATCAAACCAAATATTTGATTTATTGTTTCGAAATTGTCCTCCAGCAGAACGGAATCCCACACCGTTGAAAGATGAAGGAAACGACTGCCAGACATTCATCCCAGATGTGTTAAAAATCCGGCTAAGCTGATCATCTAATGCTATCTAGTCTCAAGCGTAGCAACAAGAATGATTTATTTAGGCTGCAGAGCACGCCAGACTGAAAATATTACCTCTTTCATATAACTCTTTAGTCTGTTAACCCTTGGACTGCCAGAGACAGTGATTGTTTACTGTTTCTCACGGTCGCCTTCCTCGGCAACGACTGAACAACAGGGACTCTAAAGCAGCAGGAAAATATTTTATATCAACCCTATAATGTTGATAATAAATAATTGCATCAGCGTAGCGTGCAGATATAAAGGTGGAAAAAACTAAAATTTTAAAATTAATGCTACAGTGTGTAGAAGCGCACTCATAAGATTTAAAAATACAGGGGGAAAAAAACTACCTTATTATAGGCAGATGTGCAATAAGCATAAATGTCCGATAGTATTTAGACCCAATACTAGACTTTTTTTTTAAGACATCAAGGTAATGGGAGTGAAACGTTGACTGTATGCTGTTCCTCATGTCTGAACATGCAAAAATAAGCCCTGCTCTCAAACTCCCACTACTCCTGGGCGGCAGCAATGACTATAATACACATGAGCTCCAATACATACAAAGAAACCGTTACTTGAGCAATATACCAAATCTCAATGCACATTTAAATACCTGGAGTTTTTTTAAGTATCACTCCGACTGCCATTAATGTGTAAGCTCATCTGCCTTGTCAAGGAAAAACTTCTTAGCTGAGTCCTACACTAACAATTCACCTTGCTTCTTTAAACTGAAAGGACAAATCTCTAATTAGACAGAGAGGGGTATTTTTCTCAACCCCGACACACTTATTAATGCTTAACAGGGAAAACATGGGATGGGAGGCAGCACTGTGTAATACAAAAGCAATACAAATATACAAAATGAAACGCAAGTTTTTTATAGTATGTTTCTTGTGTCTGCTTAGAAAAAAAGAGAATCTTAATTATTTTTCATAAAGGGACACTATAGTGACCAGAACAACTACAGCTTAATGTAGTGGTTCTGGAGTCTACATCCTGTCTCTGCAGACTATGCTATGAAAACGCTGACTTTTCAGAGAAAAGGCGGAGTATATGTTGCTGCCTAGTAACACCTCTACTGGCCATCACTCAGACAGCCATTAGAGGTGTTGTCTATCTCAATGCTGCACAGTGTGCAGCACCTATGTTCAGCGTCCCCACGCTCTGCATGGAGACACTGACCGTTCTCCATGGAGATGAGGTAATGCAGATTGGCGCAGCCTGGTATTTTGCAGCGCATATGCAATTGGATGGGAAAGCATTGAATTGGCTGAGATCACCAAGATTGATAATCTAATCCAGATGGAGGCAGGGGCAGCCATAGCTAGATTGGTGTGGCAAGGGTAAAAAAAAAAAAAAAATGTGTAAAATCACCTTTTTAATCCACAAAAAGGGGACCAGACACTTAAAGGACCACTCTAGGCACCCAGACCACTTCAGATTAATGAAGTGGTCTGGGTGCCAGGTCCAGCTAGGGTTAACCCATTTTTTAATACACATAGCAGTTTCAGAGGAGGAGAGCTCTCCGCCCAGCGCTGGAAAAAGGTAAGTTTAAACACCTTTCCCCCTTCCAGAGCCGGGCGGGAGGTGGTCCCTGAGGGTGGGGGCACCCTCAGGGCACTATAGTGTCAGGAAAACGAGTATGTTTTCCTGGCACTATAGTGGTCCTTTAAACATTGATCCCCAAACTATAGTGTTAGGAATACGTCTTGGTACATGCAGACATTACAAATCTTTGAAATATAGAATCTCTAGTAAATATATAGTTAGGGAATAAGTAGTGTATCTAAAAGCAAAAGAGAAAGCAAACATAGTGCTCTCTGTCGAATACAACATTTAGTATAAATATCAGATTAAAAATACATACAGATTATTAATGCTAAGAATGCACATCGGGAAACTAGCCCCCTAGATGCGTTGATCTCTCTACTGACCCAATATTTTATCCAAATATGTGTCAATGGGGAGTCCATGATGGGTCACTCACTTCTGGAATTCTTGTTCTGACTGGGAGTATGGCGTGGGGTCCACTTGTCACTGCCAGTTGCATTTTACCCAACAATCTCAATCTGGATCTCTGCCCGAAGTAGTACCTTACATGTTTTTTTTGTGAACGTCAGTTCACTTCCTCAGAGGCTGCATGTGGACCGTACTGCAGGCTACATAAAAACCAATAAAACTCTCACTTTATATATTCTCCATTTGTGGACAAAATAAAAACATATAAAGAACAACAAACTTCAAAAAGTCATAGTATCATATGAATTTCCACTTTGTATCATATAATTTACCATTTTGTATGCGCTCTCTAACTTGCAATTTTCTTAATGATATGGACACAATTGTACATAAAACAAAGAATTAAATGGTAGTTAAAAATGAAAAGGGGCATAGATAGTGGTAATAGAAGTCATACAAATACCATCAATATAAAAAAATAATGGAAGGGACTCAATTGCATTTAAATATATTATAAAAAGTATGATTAAATGAATAAAAAAAAACAGCAGTCAAAACAGATAAGGTGCATAAAATGGTAGTTAGAAGTCCTATAAATACCATCAACATTAAAAAAATTGCCATCAAACTATAGACACTAATAGGCCTCAAAAAAAAAAAAAAAAAAAAAGGGTTTAAAACTCTGTTTGCAAAAATAATGAAGCAGTGTTAGCCCAATAATGGACCGGGTACAGGGCCGTCTTTAATAACGAATGGACCCTGGGCAAGTGTTTGCTTGGGCCCCCTGGGCCCTGCCGCTCTCGCCCCTCACTCCATGGTATGCAATCACGGCATCCATCCCAACGCAGTGGCGGTACTAAAGTAGAATGAATTTTATTGGGACCCCCAATTGCAAGGTTGGACTAAAGGTAGAACCCCATCTGTCGTGCAACTCCAACAATGCTTTGACAGCTGGGACTCTACCAATTTCCCATGCTTGCAGGGTTGTATTTAGCACTGAGCCATGTTTGTATGTTTGAATGTAAGCATGTGTTTGTATGGAGTATGTTTGTGTGAATGTGTTTGTATGTGGTACTGGAGTTTGAATGCAAGTGTGCATTTATGTGTAGTGTTTGTTTTTGAATGTAGGAGTGTGCTTGTATGTAGTGTTGACGTTTCAATGCAGGAGTGTGTTTTATATGTAGTGTTGAAGTTTGAATGGAGGGGTGTATTTGTATTTAAAGTTGCGGCTCAGATGCACAGGTACACACTCTGACGCACAAGCAGATACACAGATACATACACTGACTACATACAGATAAACAGGCACATACACTGACAGACACACTGACACAGGTACATATATTGCACACACACAGACACATACACTGGTAGACGTACTGACAGACATACTGACACAGGCACATATACAGACATACTGACACACAGACATATATACCGACATACATATACCGACATACTGACACACACAGAGACACATACACTGATCAACATACTGACACACATACACTGACAGAAATACTGACACCCACACACTGACAGATATACTGACACCCACATACACTGAGAAATACTGACACACACACACAGGCACATACACTGACACACACACACACAGACATACTGGCACACAGACAGATATACTGACACATGCATACACATGCACTAACAGACATACTGACGCACTGACAGACATACTGACACACACATACTGACACACACAGATATACACACACACATATATACTGACAGACAGACAGACATACTGACACAGACACACACAGACATACTGACACACACACACAGACATACTGACACACACAGACATACTGACACACACACAGCACACTGACACACACACACAGACATACTGACACACACACACAGACATACATACTGACAAAAACACACACAGACATACTGACACACAGACAGACATACTGACACACAGACACTAACACACATACACTAACACACACATACAGTAACACACAAACACACATACAGTAACACACAAACACACACTAACACACACATACACATAAACACACACATACACATAAACACACATTTTTTTTTTTTTAAATGTAATCCCCCCAGCCTCCTTACCTTTTGGAGTGCTGGGGGGGATTCCCTGGGGTCCAGTGGTGCTGCTGACCCCGGCGGGCAGGTGGCCGGTCGGGCAGGAAGGCGGGCGCGCGAGGGAGCACTCACTGCTTCCTCTTCAGCTCCCTCGCGCGCCGCGTAGGGATGCCGGCGCCGGAAGATGACGTCATCTTCCGGCTCCGGTATCAGTGCGGTGCACGAGGGAGCTGAAGAGGAAGCACTGAGTGCTCCCTCGCGTGCCCGCCTTCCTGCCCGACCGGCCACCCGCCCGCCGGGGTCAGCAGGGCCAGCCTCGGGGGGCCCTGGGGTGGCCGCCTCCTGGGTCCCCCAGGGGAAGTCGCTGGCCCTGTGGGTGCATACCAGGGTCGCAGCCGCGACCCTGGTATGTACGCCACTGCCCTAAGTGCATGGGCCACCCGGTGGGACGGGGGAAAAAAATAAATTGATGAGGGCAACGGGGCAGGTTCCTCGGGCCCCCCAAGAGAAACTGGGCCCGGGGCAGCTGCCCCGTTTGCCCCGCGTTAAAGATGGCCCTGACCGGGTAGAAAAAAAGGTGTGTGTGTGTGTGTGTGGGGGGAGGAAGGGATAATGACGTATCAGTCCTAAAACTGGAAGGTTCTAGAGTACTCATCTCCAGCTGTGAAATACACTTTCTATCTCTATAAAACCAGTGGCATCCCTATCATGAAAGATACTGAAATGTTTAGAAAGAATGTGTGTAGATAGACCTTTTCTGATTATTGTACATATGTTCCCACAACCTTTTTTGTAATGGTACAATATATTGTTTACCACATAGGCTATATAGACCCTGGAGTTTTACAATCTATATGGGTTCTCATGTTGAATTCCTCTGTGATTTTATTTCTGAATTTGGTGATTGTAGTGTACTGGTTCTTGGTAGTCTTACAACCCTGACATTATCCACATCTTTGGAAACCAGTATTCAAGTTTTCATTACCCTTAGGGGTCAAACCTTTTTTAATTGTTGGTGCCAACATAATTTTTAGGAATAGATAATGTGGGGAATTCGTCCAGAATTGGCCAAAGAACCGGATCTCCCTTCAGAATTCCTTAATATTTATAAATTATTCTTCTACCTTTATGTGATTAATTACTGTACTGGGTGGGGAAGGCTGGAATCTCTTTATGTGATGATCTGTCTGGTTTCATGGTTACTTAAAGGGAAACTATAGTGCCAGGAAAACAAACTAGTTTTCCTGGCACTTGTCATGCTCACTTACCTTTCAGGCCGCCTTCCTGCTTCCAGCCTCCACTCCAACGGTTCCAACGCCAGCCACTGTAGCTCTAACCCCTTTTATGACGTGGCACGCGCGCACGGTTGTCATGACGCTAATGACATCATGACGTTGCGTGCGTGCCGAAGTCATGTTGCCAATGACGTCACAGCCCGCCAAAAGGTCTGGACTCGAACATTTTGGGGGCGTAGCTTCCAATTTAGGGATTAATCTATTAAAGGCTGGTTCACACATAGGACTTTGCCTTGTTGTGGTTCTTTTGTTAGTTCCCAATAGTGCTTGAAATTTGGTTGTTCTCTTCGGAATCTTGACCTCAGCTATCTGACTACTCTCCATTCTCCTACTCTTGACTCGGGTCTCGTACCTCAACTATTCTCTTCTCTGGTTCCCTGACTCTGCTTGTTTACCTTGTTTACGTGATTTCTAGCTCCCTCAACCTTGGCTTGTGCTTGACTATTCTCTTTCTGTCTAACATAGAGTCCGGCCACTCTAAGGTCCGGTATACGTTTTTCTGTTGCATCTTGCGTGTTGGGTCTCCTTCCCCCTCCTCTTCTGTCACTTATCTGGGTCCAGCGCCAATGTCCCTCGGCACTGGCTTGGGTCCGCCTTCTCTTCTCCCCTGCTGATGACAGCCAGTGTGGCAATGGCCGCGCTTACATTAGGATTTCCCCTAGGAAAGCATTATTCAATGCTTTCCAATGGGTTTTAGGTGACGCTGGAAGTACTCATGCATAGCATGAGGACGTCCCGCATCAGGCGACCAGACGTCGCCTAACGGCCCGGAAGTCCCTCTAGTGGCTGTCTGGCAGACATTAGGCTACCAAGAACCACAACAGGGCAACGAGGAATGGTAGAGGTAAGTATAAATAGGCATCACTTAATTCTGATTGGTCTAATTCTACTTGGAATTGACCACTATTCATGGAAGGTACTTGACCTTTCTAATCTGACTTCTGATGTCAACGATATGCACCGAATTCAGTTTACCGAATTCCGCGTTCGGTAACATATGTGTATGTGTGCAGTGTCAGAAGGAATACCAAATGGGATGGCGGCACCTGAAGCCGAGCTGTCAGATAAGAAGACAGAAAGCCTGACATGTACCTTAGTTTATTACCCTTTCTTCCTTGCAGCACCAGGCTCTGCTATTTTGTTGGAAGCGACTTTAGTGGCTGTCTGAGTGACACCACTCAATGGCTGTGTTAATTGTTTATTTTTTAATCTCCAGTCCCCATATCCACTATAGCACGTTGCAGTGGTTGTGGTGTCAGGAGCAACCTGACACCCCCCTTCTCAAACAAGCAGTCAAACCTGTACATGCAACTCAGACAAGTGTATGATATGCCAGCAGTATACGTGCACTACCTAATTTGCCTGCAAAGTTTCTCAGTGTGAAAACAATGTCCAACACAGGTGGGAAGGTATATGCACAAACTATTTATGCAGTGAAAGTAGGATAGCTTTTCATACCCCTGCCCAAAATATGCAAAAACACTAATTTCATGTGTTTGTGGTCTGTGAAATGTCGGATTGACTAATCAGTAGTTGCCCTTTGCAAAAAACAGTTTAAGAAACACATGTAATTTTACCAAGCTGGATTCAGATTAAGTTGTTATGGTACCCAGAGGTTCCATTCAAGGAGTCCTGAATCACAATTTTTTGCACAGATACCAATATTACAGACTTCTGATTATATTGCATGGTTTTTGATTTTTTGATTTTTGGGATAGTTTTTACCTTTATCACCAACTAACTAGCCATGGAAATGTGATATGTCTTTCCTCTTATGAAGAGTCAAAAAGGTAGATCCCCAGCTGTTGCAGAACTAGAACTCTCATTATATATGACCAATTTTTGTCTAAAGCTCTAATTATTGTACTTAGAGAAAGAATAATTTCAGAGTACTATCATTCTAGATGTCTACGCTTTCAGGAGAAGGTCCTTGATATCTTTGGATTCTGCAGCACATTCTGCATTCACCTCTTTTACCAATTATGGCTCATCAATGTGATTAATCTACTAAAAACGAAATTTTACCATTAGATGATTAAGCACCCATCAAATGAAACACTTTTGTAACTTTTGATTTTATTAGTGTAGCAAAAGTTTAGTGCCTCTTTAATCTTATGTATAATGGAAGAACTTGCTATTCATGTAACGCTACAATACACCAGATCAATTTTTAACGATCCTACCCCTTTAAAATAAAAATCCAAAGTTCACGGCCACCCACTTGTATCTTGCTTCTGAACAATGCGCATTAGTAATGGTGAGATAAAACCCTTCTTATCTTGCAAGGAATTAAATATTAAAACGGAGTTATGCATTGAGGGGAGCAATCTATTTTATCAAAAGTGGGTCCTGAATTATTAATTGGATTTTTTTCAAGTGGTTGCAGAGAAAATGATTTTAAAAGTCTATAGTGTTTGTTAGTCCTAAGGAACCAGAGAACATATAGCTGGAAGGCAGAATAAAGTCTGAATTATTTGGCTTGGTATCACTTAGTGATGAATGTTGTATGTTGCCTACATAGGCATGCATTAATGGGAGTGGGATGATTTAAGGATGGGAGCCTTAGATATGGTCCTCTTTAGCCATGAATCTGTGCTAGCAGAGGAATATTTATTCTCTGTCCTTGAGCAGTTTTGGTCCATGATGTGAACTTTAGTATAATATTGCAAGGAACCAACTCCTGAAACTGGTAACTTGAGAGTCTTGTAACTGGTCCTGGTGACAGGTGTGACTAACTGCCCTTTGCCACTGGCTTTTGAAGGAGCCTGATTGCCAGCCTCCTGCCTTATGACTATGGCCCCTGGGGTGTATTGCCATTTAAAAAGTCTAACCCCAGGCTAGCTGAGGGTTGGACCGTAGAAAGAATGCTCCTAACTCTCACCAGGGACCATCAGCACCGTAGACACCATAAGTACTGCAGACCCCACGAACCGCCGCTGCTGGGTTTGGGTCTCGCCGTCTTCCACCCACTCTGGACCTATGACAAGGCTCCAAGTTCCAGTGGGGGAACCTCTCTTCCTCCCAGAGAACGAAGCAGGATCAGGAACAAGAGCTCTTACAAGAGCTCAGTGAAGCTAAGGAAATATGCAGAGTATAGCAATCCCTGTAGTGATTATAGCTGTCCCCTCCAAACACAAGTCAATGCTGCGAGTGGAGGGTCAAGTAGAACTGGTTTAATGAGCACACAGGACTTTCTTATATACACATTTTCCCACAAAGGTACCACCCACATGGACCTTGTGGTACACAGGACACAAAGTTACAACAGCCAATCAACACAGTACAGTACAGTCAGACACTCCCAGCTAATGCACACAAACCCTCCCCTCTGCCTGTGATATAATTAACAAACACAA